TAAATGTGTTATATGTCATTCATTGTTTTATCCAAGACTTCTATGTTCTTTCTGCTTCCTCTTGCCCCCATTTTACACACAAATACACACACACACACACACCCCACTCACTCTCTGGCAATAGTTCACCAATGCCATTGCTAAAGAAACTTGGTTTCTCTAGTGATTTTACATATTGAGATTCTAGAGGCATCTGGGAGCATCATCCCTCCCAAATTCCTCTGATCCTACAATTTCTCTCCTGTCTCCACCACAGTGATCTAAGACAAAGTAGCTTTTTATAAAGGAGCAGGTTTCTCAGTAAAGAATTAATCTACCCTTATGGGTGTTTCTTTGATTACTCTTTGGAATATTCTCCACCTTAATCCTCACCTGAGTCCTCCCATGTTTGCAGATCCACCTTCAGTCTTATGTCTTGTCTGAAGTCTCTCTCTAATAGAGGGCTTCCAGATCCCCTTCTCTAGCACTTGTTGCTTATATATCAGATATTGCTTATATATCACCATTGAGTAATATATTCATACTTACATACTAGCTTAAGAACAGGAACTACGACTTATACTTGAGTATATGCTGCCACCTAGAACGATAAGAATTGATCGGCTTTGATCTCATTAAGTAACAGTTAATGAAAGAACAAAGAAATTTCTAGAATATTTTTATTTGTTTTTAATGCTCGAGAGCCCAGCAGCTTATATTTCTGAAAATAAAAATTTCCAGTTAATTATTCTAAATTCATTCTTGGTTTGTCTTTTAGAAACAACAGCCACCAATAATTGTTTCTTGTGTTGTCTTCATGACAATGTTATACTTAGAAAAGAAAACCTTCACATATTTTTTTAATTGGCTAAAAGTTTTAATCAGCTACTCTACCTCTATAATTTCTAACTTTTATAATATCCAGAATCTATGCTGGGATTAAACAGAAAAAAACTATAAAAACCATAATGGGTTATTTCATTGCCCCACTAGGTTTCTTTTAAGTGTTCATTAACTTCTCTCACTACTCCCTGACCAGAAGGGCTAAAATTAAACAAGACTGACAATACAAAATGTTGATGAGGATATAGAGCAACATTGTTGGTGGGGTTGTAAAACGATACAGTCACTTTAGAAAAAGTCACAATTTTTTATAAAACTAAACATATACCTACCCTACGATCCAGCAATTCCACTCCTGGGTATTTACCCACGAAAAATGAAAACACACATTCACAAAAGACTTATACGAGAGTGTTCATGACAGCTCTATTCCAGGTATTTATTTTGAAGAATGGATATACACACTGTGGTAAATTTAACAAATGGAACACTGTTCAGCAACAAAAAGGAACAAACTAGTGACACAGCAACAATACATGAATCTCTGAAACGTGCTGTGTGTAAGAAGCCTTGCATGATGAAGTGTGCACTGTATGCCTCCAATTATGTGAAGTTCTAGAACAGGCAAAACTGATCTATATTGGAAAGAAATCAGAAGAGTGATTGTCTCCGGGGGTGGGTAAGAGCAGGGGTTAATTGAGAAGGGGCATTAGGCATTTTGGGATGATAGTAATGTTATTTTGATCGGGGTCTCACTTACACAGGTGCACACATTGTACTCAGAGAATGTTTGCTTAAAATGTGCATATATCGGGGCTGGCCCCATGGCTTGGCAGCTAAGTGTGCGCGCTCAGCTATTGGCGGCCCAGGTTCGGATCCCGGGCGCGCACCGACGCACCGCTTCTCTGGCCGTGCTGAGGCCGCGTCCCACATACAGCAACTAGAAGGATGTGCAACTATGACATACAACTATCTACTGGGGCTTTGGGGAAAAAAAAGGAGGAGGATTGGCAAGAGATGTTAGCTCAGAGCCAGTCTTCCTCAGCAAAAAGAGGAGGATTAGCATGGATGTTAGCTCAGGGCTGATCTTCCTCACAAAAAAACAAAAACAAAACCAAAAAATGTGCGTATATCATTGTGCATATCTAAGAAACAACTGTAAATAAAATGAAACTGGGACCAGCCTAGTAGCATAGTGGTTGAGTTCGGCGTGCTCTGCTTTGGTAGTGCAGGTTTGCGGGTTCGGATTCCAGGTGCGGACCTACACCACTCATCAAGCTATGCTGCGGTGGCAACCCACATACAAAATAGAGGAAGATGGGCACGGATATTAGCTCAGGGATACTCTTCCTCAGCAAAAAGAGGAGGATTAGCATGGATGTTAGCTCAGGGCCAATCTTCCTCACCAAAAATAAATAAATAAATAAATAAATAAATAAATAAATAAATAAATAAATAAACAAAAATAAATAAGTCAATCAAGAAACTGAAACTCTAGTTAATGAAACGTATGCTGAAGTATTTAGGGGGAAGTAATGTCTGCAGCTTACTTTGAAGTGTATCAAAAAGTTAGATGGATTGATGGGTACAGATGTGATAAAGCAAGTCTATTAACACGTTATGACAGAATCTAGGTAGTCAGTACGTGGATGTTGAGTATAAATTCTTCCAAATTTTCCGTATGTTTGAAATTTTTTACAATAAAATATTAATAAAAGCTCATTAGCTTCTCTCCTCTTCCAGAACTGGTGCATCCTCCTCTTCACATCTCTTTGGCCTTCACAGTCCTTAGAGGCCCAGAGACAGCCTTGCTACCAGAGATCCCGGGGGTGTGAATCCAGGGATCCAGAAGGCCTTCCTACTCAGCATCGCCCCTGGCCCCTTCTGCTTCCTGTCACAACTGAATGTTTCTATTAAAGACTGACTCCTTTAGATCTACATGGAGTTTGGGTCATCAAAAATCTCTTATCAAAATGCAAATATCCCCAGGTCAGGGAAGTAATTTAATCTTGGGGGTAATTCTTTGTCAGAGTCTTTTGTTATGGAAAATAAAATGTACAGGAGATGAGGATAAGAAAGGACAAAGAGAGTCTATGTCGTAGGTTACGACCTGTCAGCCTTTTTGCCTGGGCCAAGTTAAGAGACCAGAGCTCATCAATAGGGGCAGCTCTAATCCCTGTTCCTCAGCCACAACAGCCAGAGCTAGAAGTAGATAGGGTCAAGGTGACTGGAAAATGCCTCTCTGGCTCCAGCCTTGCTTGCTCTATAGGAACCTCAGTTCCCTCAATGCCCCTCGTTGACCTAAGAGGCCTGGGAAGGTGTTTCCTGTCCACTTGGGAACGAATCCTCTCTCTCACCTTGACATGCTGAGGCTCTGAGTTCCTCCTGGACATTCCATCGAAGCCTATCTCAAAGGCCCGGATGCCTGACCCAGGCCAATTTCCTCTCCCACATCAACTCTGGTCCAGAAGCAGGCTGGATTTGGCTCCCCGTCAGAGGAGACCGAAATGAAGAATGCTCCCTTCACCCTCTAAATTCCCATGTCTTCTCTAGAAACTTCACTGAGACTCCATTTTGTTCTTTCTATTGCAGCCGCCTCTTTTCCTCAGGTCTTGGGTGCAGATCATAGGGGCAGGCTGGGGCCATCTGACAGACAAGGGCTGTCTGTCCTATCACTGACTCAATGTCCTTGGACAGTCTTGTGACTCTCCTCTCTCTCTTTCCTTAAGATGAATTCTCACTTCCCTTAGGAGGCTTTCTGGTCCTTTGTGCACGTAGGCCTGTAACTGTCTCCCCTTCTGTTTCTTTTCAGGCAAGACTGAATAGTAGGGAGATTCCAGCTGAAGCTATCAGGATGGGACCCTAGTTTCTGAATAAAAACAAATGGATGCATATTTCCATTTATGTTGTTGTCCCTTCCACTGAGAGATGGAGTCTTATCTCTTCACCTCTTGCATGTGAGCCTGGCCACATGATTTGCTTTGGCCAATGACACATTAGCAAATGTGACACAAACAGAGACTTGAAAAGAGTTTGTGCATTGGAGTCTGCCCTCGTTTGCTGCTTTTGGAACCCAGTGGCTGGTGAAAAGCCTGAGTAGCCTGCTAGATGCTGCAGACACGTGGATCAGGTGCCTCTGCACCATAGCCAACCACCAGACATGTGAGTGAGGCCATCCATGTTCAGTCAGCTTCTGGCTGAACCCCCAGCTGACTGTAGCCACATGAGTGAGCCCAGGCAAGACCAGCAGAACCACCACCTACCTGAGCTCTGTTCAAATTGCCAACACCCAGAATTGTGAGCTACTCAGTGATTGTTTTTAAGTCACAAAGTTTTGGGGTTGTTTGTTATGCAGCAATAGATAACCAATACATTGTTGGAAGGGTGGAAGAGGGAACATGGAATTGATGGAATAAGTATCCATAATCAATGGATAAGATAAGAACTAAGGTTTTCTTCAGAAATTCTATGATTTGATAAGAAGATCCTAATCTCTACACCAAGTATAACACACATAATTAAAATTTTTAATTTAAGACGATACCTTCTCTTCCTTTCTGTTTTATATTGTAAATCCCAGAGCTACACAATGTGTGGCCAAAAGAACTATGACTGATTATCACCACATCCATCTCCTTACTTCCTGGTCATGGCCTTGTTATGTCACTGCCAAGGCAGTGCCTTTCTTGAGTTGTGTACTGTTCGTAAACGTTTGCTTCACATGATTCATACCCCAATCTTGGATAAGGGCTATATGCATAAATACAAGAGTTGAGATTTACGTCTGAATTAATTTCTTTAATAAAAAATATTGAAATCACTTGCAAAGTCACACACAACCATAAAAGAATGCAGCTGCTATAACACTAAAGGAAATTACCGCTAGGCTTCCATCCAGTACAGTGCAATTTTCAGCAACTAAGACAGAGGCCTTGAAAATAAGAGGTAATAATGGAAATGCTGACAAACCCAAAACTCCCACTGCTGAAAGAATGGCAAAGAAAGACCAGAATAATATGACACAGTGTGAACTCCCAGTGTTTTTACCTAGCATTGGCAGCAAGTGACAGAACAGGCTTTCACAATAACATTATAATTAAATTACCAATTGTTTAAATAATTTCTGTAAGTCAGGAGGAAAAATAGCACTATTTAATTGTGGATAAGATTCCATTTCCCTGAGGTTTTTGTTTCCTGCCCACAAGTCAGAAACCTCCCAGATGGGACAATATCCTGTCCTGGTTTATACACCTGGCGTCCACCTTGGGTCACATAGAGGGAGATGCAGGAGGCAGGCAGATGCATCTTTGTACACAACACGTTGCACTGAGGGCTGTGGGCCTGGAGTTCTGGAAAATGTCCTCTTTCAACTCGGTGTTCAGTGCTTGCCCCTTCCCCAGCTTTGACACAGTTTTCTCTTTGAAGCACAGGGACATCAGGAAAGAGTGTGGACAGTTCTCATCTCCATTTATGCTGCCCCCTGCCTCCTTTGCTTGCAATCCCCTCAAGGCCTCAAAGGGTGTCCTCCTCCAGATACTCAGAGCTGACCCAGCAGGAGGGGCCAGGCCGGTTTGAAGGTGCCGGCCGCCCTTATTCAGTACAGAACGTCCTCTCTTCTTATCTTGCCTTTTTTTAGCTTGAAGGACAAACACAGGGAGAGGAGTCTTGATTGTCCTCTGTTAATATGCTCCAGTTGGCGTACTATACAACATCTGAAACCACTTGTGATGTGACAATTATTTTTTTTGAATGCTAGCACCTCATTTTACGTAATTTTACGGCTAAGAGGATGGGAATTCAGCTTAGAAAACTTTTGACCAACAATCATTGAGACAAATAAAAATGAGGACAAAGAGAATGTCTGTGATGAGCAAAATAAAACAGCCTGCTATGCCAAGAATGTTCATGAATCATGTTTTCCAAAGGCCGCGTTTCTCATCTGTTCTGTAACGACCTGAAACCCCGTCCTCACCAAGTCTCTCTCAGGCGCCTTAGTTGCCCAAGGCTGACTAACATCTGAACCTAGAGGGATGGACACACAGAACAGACCTTCTGGGAAAGGGACCAAAGACTCCATTTTGGTTCACCAGCTCCACTGCATCCCCCAGGCCTGTTTGAGAATCGGAGAAACAAGGATGGAGAGTGTTACGGGTTGAATTGTATCCCCTACGGATATGTCAAAGCCCTCATCCCCAGTACCTGTGAATGCAACCTTATTTGGAAATAGGGTCTTTGCAGATGTAATCAAGTTTAAGATGAGGTCATTAGGGTGGGCCGTAATCCGAAATAACTGCTGTCATTACAAGAGAAAAGAAACACGGGAGAATGCCATGTAAGGACACAGCAAGAGACTGAAGTGCTGCAGCTGCAAGCCTAGGACCGCCAAGGATAGCTGGCAAACCACCAGAAGTGAGGAAGAGGCAAGGAAGGATTCTCCCCAAAGGTTTGGTAAGTGAGCATAAGTGAGGCCATCTTGTTACGCCAATTGGCCCCAGCCCCTCCTCTATGTGACTACTCGCTGCTCTGCACGTACTCTAACAAAATTCACATGCCCTCCTGATTCATGGCCTCCTCTTTCGTATGTACTCCCTGATAGCTTGATAAATTAAAACTTTGTTCTATGAGTTTCTCTCCAGGAACAGGCTGACCACAGGCAGGAAATACACCTATAAGGTATCCATCACAGCTGACAGAAGAATGGAACAATGTGATGCCTGGAGACCAACATCCTTGCATTTCCTCCTCACTGCGCATTTTCCCCATACAACGACCTCAAGAGTCTGTGATTTTTGAAGATGGTTTTTTTGAGACATTAGTCTGCCATCTTCCCAATCATGCTGGCTAATTGAATTAGAACTTCCTTTCTTGATCCGTAACTCATGATTAATTGGCTCAGATCATGGTGAGGAGAGCGACTCCATTGCTCGGTATCAGTTTCAGAGGGAGCACGGCCATGCTGACACCTTGATTTCGGACTTCTAACCTCCAGAACTGTGAGATGATGCATTTCTGTTGTGTTAAGCCACACAGTTTGTGGTACTTTGTTACGGCAGCCCTAGGAAATGAATACAGAGAGTCTAGGCAGACTGCCCACGATCACATGGCTGCTGATGGCAGAGGACACTCAAGAACATAGCCCTTGTGATTCCCATTCCAGAGTGCCCATCCTGGGCTTTATTCGTCTGATGTGTCACACCTAAGTTGTGTGTTTCCTTACATCTTTTTGTTTTCATTTCGATTTCTATAATAATTTCCCTCAAATAGACTTTCCTTGTCTCCCTCATTTTATTCTGAAAATTTTGAAACCTAAAGATAAGTTGAAAGAATAACAGAATGAACACACACATTCCCTTCACCTATTGACCAATGAACACTTTGCCATGTTTGTTTCCTTCTCTCTTTCTCTGTCTCCATATATGTTTGCTTTTTCTTGAACCATTTGAAAGTTACAGACCTCATGACATTTCACACCTAAAATATTTCAGCATGTAAGTCCTAGGAACAAAGACATTCTCCTTCATATGATCAGATTCAAGGAATTTAACACCAATACAAAAGGATTATCTAATAAAAAGACTATATTCAAATTTCTCCAATTTTCCCCCAAATGTCCTTTCTAGATATTTTCTTCCCTCCAACCCTCCCTTCCCCTCTATTCTTTGGTCAGAATATTACCTAGTGATGCCACGCACTTCCCATCGCTTCTCATCAGGGAGAACATGTCAGTCAATAATCACCATCAATGATGCTGTTAGATTCATTGGTGATGGTGGTATCTGCCAGATCTCCCCATTGTAAAGGTACCACTTTTTCCCATTGTAATTAATGAATGATCTGTGGGGGATATTTGAGAGATTTGTTCTTAACTACTTAATACAGTACACCCAGAGTTAGAATCAGATGTTGATTTAGTATTAGATATCACTCCGTAGCTGAAATGCAACACCTAACATGGGGGGGTTAAGGTTAAAACTAACCCTCCTCCTTTAAAAGCACCAACCTACAGAAATCTGAAGGTCATTCTCATGGCTCTACCAGCACATGTAATATAATCCAGGTTTTGGCCTCAGCCAAGATTTTTGACTCATTAAAATTTACATTGAAACATAAGGCGGCACACCAAAAAAAAAAAAACAAACATAGAGTAAATCCCTAAGTAGGTAACCCCAATCTTAAAGCATAAAGTTACATTAGGTAAACCAGTTTTGCTTCTCAGTATGCCAGTATCATGATAGCTCAAATATCACAGATGACATACAGCTTATACTATTACACTTATGACAGGGAGGTATCTTCCTTGTTGGCTACCACAAAGGACATAAACTTGAGAAAGCAGGACAAAAATAGACCTCCAAAGCCATGTCAATCATTTTGGAGAGGTCAAAAATACTCACATCTTTAATTGGAAATCACTGCTTTGGTAATTAGTATAAGGACACAGAAACACAGCCCTAAGTCTATGAGTGAATATTTAGCATGGTGATTACAGTGCGTAAGCCACCAAGCCACCCTGAGGGTGTTCCTGTGCCATGAGAGGGCTGGCTCTGCTGTGAATGTCTGTGGAGTTTTTTCTGTATTGTTTCCCCCACTAGATGGCAAGTTCCATGAGAACATGGACTTGGTCCTGTTTGATGTCTAGGGTCCAGAACAGTGTCTGGCACACACTGAGTGTCCAATAATTATTGGTTGAATGAATTAATGACTCAAAATAGTGCTCTTCAATTTAACATTTCTAAGCAACAGATGTAACCTTATGACCCCTTCATTCCCTTTTAATTTAATTACAAAATTTCTTGCTCAGGAGTGTGTGAATAAAGGGGGCCTTCTTAGCTTCTCTATCTCAACCTCCAATAGCTTAGCTAGTCATTTCAGGGCAGACAGGTTCAAGGCACACCCTGTGTCATGATTCTATTCCTCAAGGCCACGTATCTCTTTCTTTTTTTTCTTTGTAAAGCAGGAACCAGGAAGGACATGGAATATTCCATCATCCCATCATCACTGGTGTACTTATCTCCTTCCAATATTTCCATTGTTGAGTTGCTAAAGGTCATGGGGAGAGGGAAGTCTGCAGATTGTTAATAGAATGTATAATTTGCTTAAATACTTAACATTTTTTCTCTCCATGATTTTGTCTAGAAATACTGTGATATACAATTTTGATTAATTTGCTTAAATATATGACAGTTAACCAAAATAAATGATATGCCCTATAAACATTAGAGTATTTTTTTTAACTGTTCGTAACTTGACAGCTGTGGTGCATTGTGAAACGCATAGGGCTCTGGGGGTTCTTTTACTTCACCTTGACTTTTTTTGTTTTTGAGGAAGGTGGGCCCTGCACTAACACCTGTTGCCAATCTCCCTCTTTTTTCTTTTTTCTCCCCAAAGCCCCAGTACATAGCTGCGTATCATAGCTGTAGAGTTGTAGCTCTTTCACATGGGATGCCGCCTCAGCATGGCTTGATGAGCAGTGCATAGGTCCACACCCAGGATCCAAACTGGCAAACCCTGGGCTGCCGAAGCAGAACGTGCGAACTTAACCACTACACCACCGGGCCGGCCCCTAGGGTATTTTTTTGTTGTTCATGTGCAGATGCTTTAGTTTCAAGGAAGCTGAAAGAACCAACTAGTACATGTGTTCACTTGAATCAGGACCCTCCAGACTCAAAGACGGAAGACAATGCACAGTAGAGAAGGAGAAAAGGGGCAGGAGAGAGGCTCTCCTCCCAAAAGGAAATAGCAATAATAAAAATTAAAATATAAGAATAGTAGTAGTTTGTGCTTATTGCATGCTTATTACTTCTGTTTACAACAGCCCTATGGCATAAGAACGATTATTCCCATTGCAGAGAGGAGGAAACTGAGGCATAGCAAGATTGTGACTTGACAGAAGGGGTGGAGCAAGAATTTGAATCCTCTGACCTCAGAGCCTCTTACTTTACCATACAAAGGGACTGCTTCCAAGTGCACAGTCGATGAGAGTCTGTTATTTACAAGTGTTGTCTGGCAAGTTTTCAAGAAAATCTTTGATCATTTCTTAAAGTACTTATGCTGGGAGGAACGCAGGGCAGATAAGCTCCTGTAAGATCAGGGCCCAGAGTTCAGACAGGGAATCCCCATGGTCTTCTTAAACATCTTTTGACATTATTCAGTCCGTTTACCATCTTTGTCATTCTCCTTGAATCCTTCTTCAAACACGACATATTCCCTAAAATTATGGATACAGCTCAACTCCTGAGAGGTATCCATTCATAAATAGATGAAAAGCTTTGCTACCACAGGTAAGATGAATAAGGGATTCTGGGCACAGCCAGTCCTCGATGTGGCACATTAAAGATGCTATTACTGCTGACCTGCTTAAACACACAGACGCAATGGCTCACTCTTTCTCCCGTTGCCTTGTGAAAAATTAGGGGGGGAAGGGGCCCGTATATACAAAGGTTCTGATTTTTTAACCTAACACCTAGAAAGAAAGAGCAAGTTTACATTGCAAAGCCTAATTTTATCTAAACTTCATAAGATTTTATGTGGGGGAAATGCTTCTAAAACCAGTATTCATGTTGGCAACAGCAGCTTCCCAAAGCTACAGTCCAGATTCTGCACCACTGTGGGCACAGGTTTCTCCCTTATACCCACCTCCCACACCCACTCCCCAAGACACATGCAAGGAAAACATTCAAAACTAGTTTTAAAAAGCAAGCATGTATTATTTTCTTTCTTGCAAATTAATTTACCCTTAACACAGATGCAGCTAAATCACTGACAGGCAAATAGCAGGAATTCTTTATACAGGAGCTTCTATCTCTCTTCCAACCCCAATTCAAATGTAACCGCCCATAACAAGGGCTCCTAACCTTTTGGATGTCAAGGACCAAGAAATGAATGAACAGTACATGAAAATGGGGACTGATGTGAGGTTGCTAAGTTTCATTTTGCAATTAAAGAAAACAAATAATAGTACATATTATCATCATGACTTCATAAAGTAAAGGACAATATAACAGAAAAAAACATGTAAGTAGTTAATTTCAGGCTAAAGAATTTTTAAAAATCATAAAGTTAGCTCATGGAATTTAGTTTACTTACAGAAAAAACAATCACTGCCTTGTTCTTTCTTCCTTTTTTTTTTTTTTCTCCCTCACTCTACCACAAGTCAGTGAAAATTCTATTAGAGACTAGCTCTGGTCTTGGGACCAAGATCTGAGGGCCGCTGATCTAAGAGAAGTCTTTCCTGGTATCTCCTCCCTCCACCACCAGGCAGACCTAATCCCCTTCTTTCTCTCAAGCATTTTGTGAATACTTCTGCTATATCACATGATTTCATAATTATTCCTGTTAATGTTTATCTAGCAACTAGACCACAAGTTCTTAAAGGCACAAAGGCTGTCTAACCCTTTTATTCATTTACAGAACATAGCACAAAGCCTGGAACACAGTATGCATTCTCAGAGAATTGATCAAATTAATTTGTACATAAGTAAGTCAAATATAAAGAGAAGTTCTCTCCCTAGACAAAACTGATCATTTTATTTGCAAACTGGCATATCACAATAGGCCCCGGAGAGAGGTCCCAGACATGCAAAGAAAGTTACAAGAACAATCAAATACCATTAGCACACAGCAATGGCTGGCAAATTTAAACTAAAGTTGAAATAATTAGCACCATTGTTCTAAAAAACAATCTCAGCTAAAAAATTGGTTGGACATTGTGTTTAAACATTGATAGTGACATCGACTTATACAGACTTCAAATGAAAATGGAATTTCCAGATGCAGACTAGAGTAAGAATCATCAAAAGGTAGGGTCATAGCCAGCAGCAAATGAGATCCTCTGTGTTCATTTATCCAGGTGGTTTATTGGAAAGTCACAGATCTGTGGTTTGAATACTGAACAGTGAGCCGGCAATTCCTTGAATCCAGGAAAACAACATGTCCTAATTTATTTCCCTGACAAAATTTGGCTACAGTTCAGCAATGCAGTAAAAATATGTCCCATAAAAATATCTTTATGGATTTTCGCATTACATTGACAAATGAGGAGTGGAATCGCCTTATGAGGGGCAGAATCACCAAAAATTTTTATCCTTTATACACATATATCTCCCATGAAGCAAACAATATAAAAAGTGAAAGGAATTAAAATTATAATCATTTCTTGCACTACCAAATTCAGAGAATGTAAGCATATACAGCGTTATGGTAGCTATTAACTCTTTAGTGGTATCCAAAAGTTAAGTCATTTAGTGTTGTCCTAAGGGTCAAATTTGTGTTTACCTCTAGTAGTGATTGAACAGAGTTATGAGGCTACAGAAAGCTTTATGGATGAAATTTCAGCAGCATTGGCAATTGTAGGCAGGATCAGAGGAAGGAAACTGGAAACCCAGAACATCACTGCTTACTGGTGCTCATTCACTTACTCTTCAAGATGAAAGGAATGGAATTAGCTCTGGGGGCCAAACTTGAGCATGTTTGGATCCAGTGCTTTTGTAAAAGCAGCATCACACAGGCTCAGCTACATTATTGACTCACTGTGGTTGGCAGCCTCCAAGACGGCCCCCAATGATCCCTACCCTGGAATTCATAGCCTTGTAAAGCTCCCTTCCAAATTTTACCAGAGTTGGTTTGCGTGACCAATAGAATAATACAGAAGTGATTGTCTGTCATTTCTGAGATTAAGTTATAAAAGACGTTGCAGCTTCGGTCTTGAGTGTCACTCTCAGATCGTTTGCTTTGGGGGAAAGCCACTCCTATGTTGTGAGCAGCCCTATAGAGAGGCCCATGAGGCAAGAAACTGGAATGTTCTCCCAACAGCCAAGTGAGTGAGCTGGAAGCAGATTCTCCAGCCCCAATCAAGCTTTCAGACGACTGCAGCCCCAGCTGACAGCCTGACTGCAGCCTCATCAGACTCTGAGCCAGAGCCACCCAGCAAACTGGCTCCCAGATTCCTGACGCTCAGAAACCAAGAGAGAAAATAAATGTTTGCTGCTAATTTGGGGGGTGATTTGTAATCCAGCAGTAGATAACTGATCCATCCACTGTGATCTTGGGTAAGTTAGATAAATTAATCGAGCCTCTGCTTCCTCATCCATAAAGTGGGGACTAATGTAAATAAAAATAGATTTATTCTCCTTTATTCCTGAATGAATTTGGGACTACTTTCAGGGATGCATAAAATACAAGGAATTATACATTAAAAGAGAAGGGAGGATAGAAAGACAAGGGTGGGATATAAAAAAGAAATGGGAAAGAGGCTAAAAAATAATCTATTACACACATCCTATAACTGGGCCACAATTCTGGCTCTGAAACTGTGTAACTCCTCCAACCTCCCCACCCCACACAGAGACAGTCAGGTGTTTATTCAGTTCAGAGTTCAAAAACTAAAAAAGAAAATCCAATTATTTAGGAGACATATAATTATCCTTAGTGCTAACATGGATGAGAATTTTCCTTGGGTACTCCCTAAAGCAGACACTGAGTGGAGTATAAGCTGAGGCCTACATACTCATGGGTAATTTAGTGAAATGGGATGATACATACACAGTGTCTCATATCATGCAGGCCCATAACAGG